AAACCATTAAGCACTCACGTTTAAATTGTTTTGCTTGCAAATTGCAATCATTCAAATTTCTGTGGAGTGCAAAAAATAGAAAAATAAACAACCAAGGAGGCTTAATTCAAAATGTCAATATAAACATGATTTATTTCTGGGACTTTTACACATCTCTCTGGCTCTTTTCCCCCTATTGATGTGTCTCTTTGGAAGTCATTCCTTCTCTCTTTGTGTGCCAAACAAGCTAAGCATGAGATGACAAGCACTTTAAGCAAACAAGTTGTTACCCTGAAAGACTTCCCATGATTAGGGTCTGAAGCAAAGACCTTTTGCAAACCTACACCCCTTCAAATTTAGGATTCGGATAGGATGAGGATTGGAAATGCTACAGACATAGAATTAGGGAACTACGCTTCTTGAAATATTTAACTTGTTCTGTTTATGGTGGTGTTTTAAGGCATAAGACGCTTGCAGATTGGATCACATCCTTGCTATTGCCCACAAACAGCACACAGTCTGTGCAAGTGGGGCTGCACATAGCATTCTGTGCTTTGGGCACTGCAAATCCAACCAGCTGGAAAGAAGTTTCTAAAAGTATGCTTGGAAATGTACTCTAGTGATATTCTTGGAAATAAAGAGGTGACAATTGCAGGACATCTCTGTACAAGGAAATCCCAGTGCTCGAAATGCAGGTGCCACATGATTATTTCTGAAGAACTGATCCAAATTTCACAAGGAATATTGATGATGATACTGCTCTTCTGAATATCCTTGCAGGGTCATTCTGTCATGTCCAAACACTATTAATAGAAGAAGAGCTGACAAAAAAAAAAAAAAAAAAATAGACAGCTAAGAACATCACTAAATAACAGTGTGGAAGATTTCTCTAAGGCAGCATTAAACCAGGAGAAGCAAAGTCAGTGATGATGGTAGTGAGGTAACTAGCTATACTAAGCCCAGCAATTCAGAACAGCAGTGGGTGGAAAAGCACAGCAAGCAGGAGAGATTAGTGTGGAGCCAAACACTAAGTGATCTTCAGAAATATAAAACACTATCAGCAATGAACTTCCATTACACCAAAATCCGAGCAGGCTTTCCAAGGTGTTAAGTGATAAGTGCAGGAAGCAGTTGCAGTTTTATTAATTTTGCTGGAAACAAAATTTTCCAGAAGTAAAAGAAGTGCATTTTGACTTGAAGCATTGCATTGTGAGAAAAATCAAACTGTCTGATTAGGATTCAATGATTAATTTTGATATATTATTCCTAATAATAACGATGAGCAAAAGGAAATTTAACAGGTAGCTCCATGAACAGAGGAATAAATGGAACCTGGATCCCCATAGCTCTGTGTCTTAGTGTTGGTTGGGTTGTGTATTTAAGAAGATGAGAAGCTTTGCCTGCAGCTGGGTGTTTTTAAAGTCTGTCTTTCATGCGGTTTCACTGTTACCTAATAGAGGTTCAGCTCCTGCTGCAGTCTTCCTTTCAACAAGAACATTTATGGGATCCCTCTTTTTTGCCCATCTACTTTCATGAAACCAGTAGTGCCTTAATATCTCTGAGGCCTCTATCCCTCTGTAAATTTGGTCACGGTGTTCAACGGTTATTGGATAGAGGGCAAACACCTTCCACACACGTACACGTATGTAAACACACAGAGCATGATCCCGTGCCCCTAATTTCGTAAGCAAATCATCCAAACAAAAATAAACAGGGTTTTTCAAAATGACAAGTGATAACACTGTTCCCAGAAAAGGCCAAACTGAGTACAAAAAGGCCAAAAATTAGTTTTTGCAGATTTTGTTTCGAAATGGTTTTGTTTGCTTGTTTGGTTTTACCAATGAGCATCCATTCTCTGGCAAGGTTTCTGAACTGATCGCTGCATAAGCAGAAAAGAACAGAGCTCAGACTTCCGAACCCAGTCCTGGCATTACACAGGAGTGCAATTGAACATGAACAGCTCTTCATCTGCAAACTCAGCTCAGCTGGTGTAGGTACAGCTGAACCCCACACAGTCCAAATCTGCACACTCAAGCAAGGAATCACTGGAAGTTGGAGAGCTCCCAGTCTGCCAGGGCAAATTGCAAAGGGTCTTGCAGCACTGCCAAACAGCGTTCACTGGGCCTCCACTGCTCTCCCACCTCACTTCCAGTTGCTTTTGCCCATGCCCACATTTGCCTACAAGCAGGACAGCCCTCAAAGTGTGTTCCCACAACTTAGTTCCGAGAGGTGGGCAGCATCTCTCCAAGTGCAGGGCTTGATGTATTTATCTCATCTATAGAAGGAAACCCATCCCACTGGTCCCCAGTGCTGTGGCCCATCCACATGAAAAGGAGCGGGCAGGGACTGTCCTTCCAAGTAATACATTCACTTCCAGTAACACCTCACCGAGGTGTCCAGTAATGGAGATGAGCCCAATACCAGCACGAGAAAGGAACTGTTTGGACCCCATAGGGCAGTCTGGGGTTTGTTTAGGCAGATTTACGGCCTTTTTAACTTGAGGGTGCTGGAGAAATGTGTATCTTACACTTCCTGCTATTAAACATCAAATCCCACTGATGCCAGTGGATCCCACAAGAATAGAGTCACAGAGCCAGTGAGATGAGGGACCACATAAGACCTGACAGAGATGGGACAAGATGCTACAAGAAAAAATGAAATACGCTCTCTGAGTTTGGAAGACATTTAAATATCTATTGCAGCAATGAGAAAAAGCAATCACCCACAGTTCTGTCTCTGTTACACAGCACAAGCCCCCCATGTTCCATGGAGCTAATTTGACTTTGTGTGTGAAAAATCCAGAAGAAAAACATTTAGCCTTGTTCTCCAGGTCCACTTACTGTGATTTAGGACATGGGCATCGTACAGATTCGCTGCTGGTTCCTAAGACGGAAAGACCTGAATGGGAGGATCCAGCCTTTCTTGCCGTATCGTTCACGCTGATGTTTGAAAGACAACTTGCTTACCGCTCCTGTGAAATGAATCAAAGATGCCACCTGAAACCACAGTGACACGTATTTCCTCATAGCTTGTTGTATTTCAGTTAAGAGTCATGATTTGTTTTCCAATGCATGTTATCACTTGCTGTGTTTACATTATGTCAAAGATGATAAAGAAGCAGAATCAAAACTGCGTTAATCCCATATAGTTAATACTTTAAATGCATGTTATTGTTTGAATAGTTTGAGCAACGTAATACCTGAAAGAGTGCAAACAAGTGACACCGAGCCTGGAGCGCTGAGCAGCACAAGCCGTGGGTCTGGGCAGGAGGCTGCTTATGTCCTTCCTGTGACAAAGCGAGTGATCTTTTTGGTAACACGTATTTTTGCTGGACAACACCAGTTCATTGCACTGTGTGGGAAGGTGCTGGTTTTGATTGAAGCTTTGCTGGGAGGGTTTCTCATCTTTCATGTGGTCAAAAGCCGCCAGCAAATTGGGGCAACAACCTCAGATAATCAATAGCTCAATAGCCTAATTGGTAGGGGTACAGCATAGGTTTCTTTCTTGCTCTTCCTCAGCAGGACATCTGGAAGCTGTTACTCATTGTATAAGTAATTAAAGAGTAATTGGGCAAAAGAGACCGCCGTCCTAACCTGCTGTGGTGAGATTAGGACATGCCACTTGCACCACAGTGGCCAGCTTCTGCATGTTCAGGGACACTCGCACTCCCAGGCGTGCATCTAGAGACCAGACCAACGCAGGCATGATTTCACAGCTCAACTTACAACCCTGCCACACCGGACTTCCACCTGCGCCCCCGCCTTCCAGCACGGACTCAGAAATACCTACAAATGGCCAGCCAAATCCAGAGGTCCCGTGGAGATAAAAGCGCTCCATGAGCTGGGTTTGGCCGTCGGGTGTCTGGTCAATCATTTCTGTCTAAGATAGGGAAGGCTGCTGAAAACTGTCTCAAACCGGTCAGATGCAAACAGGTCAGAGCGCCTCGTGCTAAACACAGAACACTTGCAGCAAAGACCGCTTCCAGCAAATCCAGCTGTGGCTAAGAGCCAGGAGAGGCTGGGCAGGAAGGAGACTCATCGACCTGCCGTGAAGGAATTTTTATCCTCAAACTGGTGCTGATGTGCCAGGAAATCACCTCCAGCACAGCGCTTTGCCAGTGCGTAGTTCAAGTCGGAAAGCCGCCGTGCGGAGCTACTGAGCCCTGCTGCAAGGTGTGCTGCTGTCAGACCCACCTTAGTCACCTTTGGCATCCTTAATCCCCCATCCGGGGTTGCTAATATACGGCAAAGTGGCCAAACGTAGTATTTGCTGTGCTAGTCCCGGATGCGCTGCTAGCTATGGAAAGAGGCACATCTCCGCCGTTGGACATCTGTGGCCTTGGCATCCCATAGGTGTTTCTGATGCAGTCCCCCGGGGGTAAGATACGTGGAGCTTCATCCGTGATATTCCTGTGCACTTTGACTCTTGGCCCTGCGATTAGTTGAAGAGCGTTAGCAAAACTTCCGCGAGCGCAGCGCAGGTGGTGGGGCTCCCCCACCTCATAACTGCGGTGCTCAGCAGGTCGCCTTGGCAAATCTGCTGTGAGATCTGATTCAGCGAGTTATCTTCCAGACGGCTCAACCCGTAGAAACGCATCTCTGAAACCACGTCTTCCCCTTCTTCGTTAGGGGCGATGGTGGCTGACGAAGCGGGATAGGAAATACCGTCCCGGGGAACTGTCCTCCCTCCCCAAAACCCCGCACCGCGACCCACGTTTGCGCCGTAACCCCCTCCGGGCTCGCCCGCGGGGACGGGCCGGGGGCGGGCGGCATTAGCCCGGGCTGGCCGGGGCCGGGGCCG